GATCCTCCTGTTTTCAGCCTCCCCAGTGCTGGGATTACAGGCATGTGCCACCATCCCCAGTCTCTGTGGCCAGCTCAGCACACCCAGGGGTGGGACCTGTGCAGCATGTGGTACCCAGGATTGAACCCTGGTCCCTGTGCTTGCCTAAGCCGGCGCTTAGCCCACTAAGCTATCTCGCCGGCCCAAGTGGGTCTGGCTTCTAGGAAGCCTCCCCATTTGCAGGTTATATTAGGTTGTGCTGCCCTCAAACCTCTGCCGTGGCTCCCTGCTTCTTTGAGAACGCCAACCAGTGTCCTCCAGGCGCCCACGCGTGCAATCCTGTCAGCTCTCTCACCGCATCTCCCTCTCTCTCCACACAGTTCTCCTGCTCAGCCACACTCTCCCCGCTGTTCTCTCAGGGCACCAGGCACATGCCAGCCTCAGGGCCTGTACACATCCTTCCCTTGCCCGGCAGTGCTGTTCCCCGGATATTATCAGGGCTGATTCTCCTTTAGGATGTACCCAGGGCTGGGGGGGGTGGGTGGGTAGCGCAGTGGTAGAGTGATGTTTAGCGTGCAAGAGCCCCTGAGTCTGATCCCAGATCCTGCCTCTGTTCTATCCCCCAAAAGATTTACCCCCAAATTAGTGAAGTTCTGCAGGTCACCTCCCTGTCTTCATCCTAGCATGGCCTGCTGACATTCTGTGTGTTTGTCATAAGGCCAGTCTGGTCCCCACAGCAGTGCCAGCTGGGAAGAGCAGGGCTGTGCAGTTCTCCTCAGTGTCTCCAGTCCTTCAGTGGCACGGTGGCATGTGGTTGTTGTCCCCACAGCACGTGTTCTGTGAGGAGTGCCTCTGCCTGTGGCTGGACCGCGAGCGTACCTGCCCACTCTGCCGCTCTGTCACCGTGGACACGCTGCGCTGCTGGAAGGACGGGGCCACATCGGCACACTTCCAAGTGTACTAGGGCCGGACCCTGAGGATGCCTGAGGGTCAGTGTCCCAGATCCTGCTCTGGGGGCTTCCTGGAAAACAACCTCCAGTGACAACAGCAGCCTTCCTCCAGCTTCAGCCCCGACAGAGGGCAGGCCTGGGCCCTCCTCCCTCCGCCCACTTTCCTCCCATGACCTGCAGGACAGTGCAAGCACCTTCCCCTCCAGCAGGGGAGGCCTCCTCCTACTGACATAGTCTGCCCCAGGTAGGTCATCCACCCCCCCTCCAAGTCAAGGAATCTGTGACACAAGAAGTTCTCCCCTTCTCTTAACCTAGTACCAAGTTCCTAGTACTCAGTGCTGCGGACTGGGGAAGAGCAGGGCAACCACTGCCTCTCCATATGGCCCTGGCCTGCAGTGTCACTGGGAAGTATTTTCAAAGTCCAGGCTGCCATCTACCTAGATTAACTTAATGGATCAGTCGCTTAGCATGTGCCAGCCACAGCATCAGGCATCTGGCTTGGATCACTTCCCGTCATGCTCAGCACAGTCATATGGAGGTACTCTTGGCCCACCCCCACTTGACAGGTGAGGAAACTGAGGCACCGAATGAGGTGTGGGAACTTTCCCCAGGGTCACTCTACCCCCAAAAAGATTGGTGAGGGCTAGCTGAGCTTCCAGCCATCACCAGCCTGGTTTGGTGTCAGAGGTGCTGAGGCTACCAGGTGTGGGGTCCAGGAGACCCAGGAGACTGAAAGCATAGTGGGTGGCTTCAATACCCCTTCCTGCTTAAGGCTTGGTGGCCTTGTTGGGTGCAGTGGTACCTGCCTATAAACCCAGCACTTGTGAGGCTGAAGCAAGATCAAGCGTTTGAAGCCAACTTGCGCTGCATAAAAAGATCCTGCCTCAAAACACAAAAACAAAACAATGACAAAAAAGACTGCAGCGCACAGGCGTACCACACATTGGGTATGGACTGCATTGAGAATGGGAACCAGGCCCACCAGCTCCTGCAGTCCACCTTTGGCTGGGCCTGTGGAAAGACTTACACCTTCAGGTTCTTTTCCTGGGGTCGGGTGGCAAAGCTCAATCTCATTTGGGTTCAGGAAGGGTCGGTTTGGCCCATGTGTGGTATCACGGGATCTCCCATTCCTGTTTCTCCTCTCCTCCTTCTATGCTGTCTTCTCCCTCACTTGTATGTCAGGCCTGTAACCAGCTACTGTGGCCAGGATGGTGATGTGGACCACAGTAGAAGCCGTGTGTTGCAATCTCTGTGGCAAAGCTATTTGCTTACCCATGCAAAACTCTCCTGCCTGGAAATCTGGGATAGGATGGCACTTAGGTGATACGGAAGCCATTTTGCTCTCTCGTTGTCCACCTTGGCACAGCGGCCTGGCACCAGCTTTGTTCCAGAAAAAAACCTCTTTCTGACTAGTGAGGAGATTAGCATGCCAGCCTCAGGGGACAGAGTGGAGCCTTGCTCCCCCAGCAGATGCAGGACATTGGCCCTCTGTGCCGCCATGCCAGGACTTCATCTTTTTCCTAACACCCTTGGCTCTTTCCTGGTGCCCAGCAAGATGCCCCTTCCAAGGCAGCATGTCATCTTTCAAGCTCTGTTACTATGGTGATGGCCGTGATGTTGACAATCCCCCTTGTCTGAATAATCAAGGAGGAAAGGAAAGCAGACGGAAACATCCATCCGGGTAGATTCAACTGCTCGGTCCCTTCCACCTTCTCCAAGGGGGGCAACAGGCACGTCGGCCCCTGGTTCTCATCAGAGAGCGCATCCTGCCTGCCAATTGTGGTCAGAGGCAGAGGAACAGGTGCTGCCCGGGACTTACCTAAGGGTCAGCGCAGGATGGAGAAGACAGAGCAGCCTGTTGGGAGTCAGACCTGGAATTCTGACTGCAAACTCCTGCCTGTGTGACTATGGGAAGACCCTTTACCTGCTGTCGCCATCTCTGGGGTAACAAAAGCTGGTGTGTTGTTTGCTGGAACCGAGGCAACTAACAGTGCAGGTGACTGGTGAATACACCCATGGTTTCACCCAGTATACTCACGCCTCCAAGGGAAATGTTCCCTTAACATTTTGCAGATGAGTCCGGCTTCTGATACTATAAAGACTGTCACCTATGAAGTGCTTTTGGAGGCATGTGGGATGGTATTTATTCATTCCCCTATCCTCCAGGGAATCTTCACATCTGAGGGTTTTCTTCTGGGTGGGAAGAGTTTCCTTCTGCCCTGAAAGGGAGCAGAGGCTTCAGAAGAGATTTCCAGGCACCAGGCTGTACCAATCCCACCCTACTGGAGTGAAAGCAGCCGAGAGTCTATCCTGAAGCAGAACAATGTCTCTGTCCCTTCCCCACGTGACGCATTTGGTATAAACAAGATTCATCAAGTGTCAGGTTCTGAGTGTCCCACTCCTAATATTTTATGACTCACTGAATGGCGGAGTCCTCAGAAACAAATAGTCCTGTTCATCTCAACAAAGCCAAGAGTAAGTGAGGTGTGGGAGTCAGGAAGACACACTCTGGATTTCAGGCCAGAGAGGAGGTCCTGTGGAACCTCAAGGGCATCCCAGCGGCTCAGGAGGAGGACATGGGACAGTCCTGGGGTCCTTTAATACTTTCATTGTGGGACAAGCAGCTGCCTTTAGTGTCTTTGTGTCTCCTTAAATACCCTGATATCTGATGATAAATGTCATCTGCTGACGGAACTCGTGCTCGTATCTCAATTTTCTTGTCACCTCTTGAAGGCAAAGGGAACTGCTTCAGGTGAAGAAGCAGCAGTGCTTTGTGGAAAGGGTTGTGAGCCTCTGTGGGTTCCTCCGAAGGCAGTGTGCTGAAGGCGTGTGACTGACTAGGGCTGAGAGAAAGAGCAGATCAGGGGAGGAAGCCAAGCTAGACAGACTTCCGGGAGGCCCCTGCCTCAGCTTGACTCCAGGGGAAGCTCCACAGAAATGCACCAGCCAAGCTGGGATGGGGCGCGTGACTGTAATCCCAGCACATGGGAGGCTGAGGCGAAAGGATCACCGTGGGTTTGAGGCCAGCCAGGGTTACATAGTAAGTTCAAGGCTGGTCTGAACTATGTAGAGAGACCCTGTCTCAAACAAACAAACAAGGAACCACCAGCCAGTCCTTGGCTCTGGGTCAGTGGGGGTGAGGCTGGCATTTCAGGCTTTCTCCTGAAGGGTCCCTAGTGTCCAAGAAGAGACCCCAGGGCCTCAGATGCCAAGGAGGCACAGGACCACCAGATGAGAACACGGAATTGGCAGAAGGGATCAGGAGGGCCTCAGAGGGGCCCCTGCACACTCACCACTGGGGCTGCCTATCATCTGTATGGGCCCAATACAGACTGGTTCAAGGAGGATTTTCCTGAGAGCCAGATTATGGTGGATGTAAATATAAATTATTAGCAGTAGTTAAGAATTCTGTACCTCTCACAGCAACACAGCGCTGTCTACCACAAAAACATCATTTTGGGCAAAACACTTTGGTTGTTGTCATTAGAAAACCAATTCAAATACGCCTTAAATTTTAAAGGGGCTTTGTTTCCTCTGACTGTGTGGGCTCCAAGTACAGCTGGATCCAGGGGCTCCAGGGGCTGTGCTATGGAACCCTGTGTCTCCACCCCTCAATTCTGTCTTCCTCTGAGATGGCTGGGTCAGATGTGGTGGCAAGATGACCCTGCAGCTGTATGCTTATCTTCCAACAGCTTAATGCCTTAGGAAAGACAGCTTTTATGTCCCCAAAGCTCAAGCCAGCATCCCAAGGCTATCACTTATTTGTGTGTGGACCAGCTACTATATAGTCTGTGGGGTGTTCCATGTTGGCTCAGATCAGGTGTGGAGTCTTGGAAGTAAGGATGGAGCGACCTGTTTGCACATAGTTGGGGACATCAACCCAGAGACCCACATTTACGTATCCATACGATGTGCTTATAAACCATGCTTTCGTGCACTGATTTAAGCACTCCTTCCCAGCCTGTTGTTAACCCAGAGGCCCACCCCTTCTCTTGGGGGGGGGTATTCTCAGGACTCTGAGAAGGTGGTAAGTGGGGGGTCCTCTGCCACAGGGAAGGCTGGGGTGTGGCAGGCCCAGGATTCTGCTGCAGTGGTACAGCCCGAACACCCTAGGGTCTTCGAGGCCAAGCCTTCCAGACAGAAATGAAGACACCAAAGCCTTTGGCTAGAAGTGCACAACCAATTTTTTAATAAAATCATTACAAATATGTACAAAGCATTTCCAAGGTATGAAATTCCTCTTACAAAAGAGCACAATGAACCAACAACATCAGAACCCAGAACAGAATGTCCCCAAGCTTATTGCCTCTCTGACTGGGCCAGGGGCCCCACCGAGATTCCCAGTACCCTCACAGCCATTCCTGCCATGCACACGGGCTCCTTGGCGCTTATAGTGCAAAAGACCTAGGGGAGGGGCTGCATGGGAGAGAAGGCAGGCAGGAAGAGCTTCCCACCTAGGCAGTGGTAGCACAGGCCTGTCTGCAAATTAGATGTTCCTGCCCCAGACCTTACTGAAACCAGGAACATGAAGAGTAAGGAGTGAGACTACTAAACCACCTGAGCCTGTGCTCTTGTCCCCAAATGTGACACTCCAGTGGGCCTCAGTCAGGCTCCCAGCTGCCTGCCTGGCCATCCTTCTATGCTTTCTTTTGACCTACCAGTGTTTGCCCTTGATTTACCAATGCTTGCACTGGCCCTAGCCCTAGCAAGACCGTGGTCTACCTTGCCAAGAGGCTCAGTACAGCACAGCAGGCAGTTCATGGACTCGGGGAGGTCAGGCAGACCTGGATCCAAACCATGGCTCTGCCATGTCACCCTTTGGGCAGCCTGAGGCCACACTGCTTACACTCTCTGAGCTTCCACTGTCACATGGGGCAATCAGCTAGAGTTGGGGTGTAGGATCGCAATGGGACAGACACACAAAGCGCAATGCTCAGCCATGGCCAGCTCTCCAGAGAGGGGCAAGCTGGCCACTGAGTAAATCAGCGAGGAGCAGTCCACATGCTGGGAATGAGCTGAGAGCGCAAGCTTCTTTGTCAGCTGAGAGCGTGGCACATGGTAAATACTATAGAACAGTCTGCCAGCAAGGCATAGGGTCACAGTGGTGACCCGACAAATCTCTACAAAATTGTGAACCAGACTAGAAAGGGACATTTCACATTGTCTGATTCCAAGCAGGTCTGCCCCTTCATGATCAATAAGTCGGTCTCTTTGGAGATGAAATTCTACAACCTGGAATCCTATGGATGCTCAATAAATAGGTGTTGAGTGAATCAATGCAATTTTTGAAAAATAAACTTTCAGCTTACGCTTTAAAATGACGCTTGGACATCAGTGGCCTACTCCACAGAGCTCCTGCACTTGGCCCCATAGGGCTGATGTCCACTGTGCCTCCACCCTGACTCCCTAGCCAACTTCTATCCCCTAATTACCCTGGGTTGACCTAAGGGAGCCTTCAGAAAAGAAAAACTGGCATCAGCACAGAACAACAAAATCTGCGGCTTCTAACGCCAAGTGGACACTCCCAGAAGTCCACAGTGCTGATCCAGTGTCCCCACAAGACACCTGTGTAGGAGGACGGGGCATGAGAACTCCCTCAGTCAGTTTCCTGGCAAGGGAGAATTATATTTTGTCAATGTCAGGAATATGACAAGAGAGAGAGAACTACATGAGATCAGCTACATAAATTGTAAAACCAGTCACAGCTCCATTGTTCTGTGACAGTATTGTTTAAATCACCACTTTCCTCATATCAAAATAGTAAAGAAACAAAATCAGGCCACTGAAAAATGTGGAAAAGAAATCCCCAGTATGCCAATCAAAGGGAAGTGGACATGGGGACAGGGTTTGTCTTTAGAGGCCCCTGACCTAGGACCATGGACAGCGGCCAGCGGGCCTGGTAGGCTCTCTTAAAAAAAAAAAAAAAAAAA